CAATATAAGCTAATAATCCTATAATAATAAGTTTATGGGGCGCAATATATATCTAATGTTTTTAATTAAAAAGCAACTTGGATTAATCTGAAATAAGAATTATATCTTTTTTTAAATTTAATTTTAGACGCATGGACACAGGATTGTCCTCAGCACTGGGCCAAGCATGGGTTTTCTTGTTATCTGTTTATAAAAGATGTTCCTGAGGACTTCATGGAAGCTAAGGTATACATTGTATACAAATAAAATTTTAAGCAATTAAGGCTCATTGATAATCTTATAAGAGAGATAACTCTAAATGACAAAAATGCCTCATTTCTTTATAAATTTGTCAAGTTGAAGTATATTTTTGTCAAACGCCTGGAGGGGTATTGAATCAGTAAAAGCCACCTTAAACACTATATAAATAAATAAAATTTCAACTTTATGAAGAAATATCATTATAGGATGGTTCAAATTGTTATTTTATTGTCTGCATGGTATATTTTCAATGAAATACGAACACCTACTCTGTGTAAATTCCGTCTGGCGTTGATTCCCATTCTGTTTCTGTATATTTACAGTGTAGTCAATACATACGCAAATTCAAATACCGGTATAGTATGCTATTTTATGTGCTTTTCGCGTTTAAAGGGCTATGTTGTTGACAGTGAATAAAAATTTCGCTTTTTTAGAAGTAAGTTGAATGTAAAAACTTAATTTTGCCAGAAGTCACCCCTTTAAAAAATATAAGGGATGCTGTGGAATTGTAGCCCTCTCCAGAAATATCAGACAAAAAAAATCGGAGAGGGTTACATTATTGTAGCTAGTACCATTTACTTCAAAAATATTTATGGGCACATGTAGTTATCTAAAATATACTTCTAAAATATCTTTGATATAGCTCATATCGGAATACTTTAAGGTATAATGACATACAAAAAGGATAAATACAGACTACATTTGTGAATCAGATTATTTAGAGCTTTCTTTCTTAAACGCTGAGTGACCAAAAAAAACTAAATAGTATCACCCTTCAAATTCCTTTAGCCAATTCCAATTTGCTAGTTCCGACATCAACTGTCAAGAACACATTTTTGTCGACCTCATTGTAATTCTACACGTACTATAAGTCAAATAAGATGTCCCAAAAGAACGACGCGTGCCCAATGAAGACAAAATGATTGTACAGTACATTGTAAAAATAAAATATCCTTCTTGTCTGTCAATGCATGTAATTTATAAATTTGAAATTTTTATACATTTACTTTGCATGTTTTATCAGTCTTTTTGCTAACGACATGGTTCAAAGTTGGTGGAAATTGAGACAGCCGACGAAAATAACTTTCTCCGCTCACATATCGTTGGAACCAATCCACAAAGTATGCTTAATTCTCGTTATCTTCAAATATTACATTTTTTCGAGGGGTCAAAAGTTCGCTTTTTGAGGTCTCTTACTTCAGAGAGCTCAAAGCGGATATAGCTAGTCAAAAAGGGGATGCTTATTCATCCTATAGGCACCCAATTCTATTTATAGAATTTCAGGGCTCGTGTTTTTTGCCCTGTTTACAGACTTGAATCAAGGAATTTTTTTTGTAAATGGATCACTGTTCGTTATTTTCACGATTTTATTGCAGTGGGATACTGGATATATAGGACTTTCTGACATTGCCTCAGAAGGAGAGTGGGTGTGGCCATCTACGGGGAGTATTGCATCATTTCATGACTGGTCACGGTCACCGCACCAGCCAGACAACCACTTCAGTAATCAGGACTGTGCTATGTTCTATAAGACGTATAATTTCCACTGGGATGACAATTTATGTACTGTCAAAGCGGGATTTATCTGCGAAATGGAGTAACGTTTTATTTCATTAATATATACAGTGTACATGTGTACTAGTATATCCATTGATTTGAAAGCTTGAGTGTTCGCTAAAATGTATGATCGGTTTCAATCACAATACATGTATCATATTCACGAAGCAAAGACCCGGCCATTTTGCATTTTTGAAAAAAAGAATGTGTCTGGAAAATTTTTCACTCATATGGAGACGCCATCACTTGCCGGTGGAGAGCTGCTAATATTGTCTTATACTAGGCACTGAGGGCTATCGAGCAGGGATGGATCTTTTTCGTGCCAGCACCTATACTGCGAAACGGGGCCCCGGTTTATACGGTCTCATCCAATGGACCAGTCTCCACGTCCCACAATGGGATTCGAACCTGCAATGTACGGATCAACTCCTTATTTCGCGACTATAGAACATACTCTCTAACCACTGCGCCACGAAGGCGACTTGGAAATTGAAGAGGAGTAAAGCTTAAATGTCATTGGTGCGATTGTATGAGCTGATGGTACCTAGAGAGTGACAATAAATATTTTGAATTTGACACAGGGATATTCTTGACAACTTAGTTATGTTAATATGATACTTATTTTCCTGACTCTAAGATAAGGGAGAGGAAAATTTGTTCTTGCTAAGAAGACTTCCAAAGTGGATTATCTGTAATTCATCATGCAAATTTGTCATCACTGATATAACTTATATCACCAGATATAACTTAAATTTTGGGATACGATATCTTCAGCTGTCAACTATCATTTGCATGGCAAAGAAAAATTTCCTAAATTTTAGTTTTGAAATTAGATCATTTTGTTATATCTTTATATGGAGCTCTTCTTCTAAAGGAGATCAAAATAGTCTAAAAATGGCCACAGCCACCCAGCCCCTTTAAATGGATCCACCGTCACACTCTGAATATATCTCCCAAATTTGACTTATCTATCACGTTTGATACTGCTCTGCACAGTTTTGCACGAAAATATGTCTATGCCAACATAATTAAAGATTCGGGGTTATATTGTTTTTGTCCTGTCAGTTTGTCTGTCTGTTGTCAACTTTAACATGGTCTAATAACTATTTCCGCTGTCAAAGTGATGCATATGGAGATACTTAAGAGCATTCGAGATCAAAGGTCCATAAAATAATACAAAATAGGAGCAGAGCAAACACGGACCTCCGAAACATCAGAGGTGGGATCAGGTGCCACGGAGGAGTGAGCATTCCCTGCTGAACGGTCACATCCGCTGTGTGCTACTTGTCATGTTCGGGAAATAACGGAAAATCCATCGTCAATTCAGTGTATAAATAATGGACTAACAATAAGTATGAAAAACGTCAGTCAGCATTTGACTCAATGATAAATTGTATTTGCTGACAAGGTCATTGTATCAACCATAGAACTTATGAAATGATGACTTTTAACGAGACAGCTGATATTCTTGTTTCATCAACTTGTTTGTCAATAATTTACCTCGTTTTAGAAATTGTACGTAGAGCATATGTTCTAGCGTATCGAAGTGTAAGTGTATAACCACTTCAGTCTACGTCCCACTGTAGTATTGTGTTTAGCATCGGGGGCATAGTGTTTCCAAAACACACCTTATTTATCTAGTTTATTTATTGTATTTACCTTTCAACCGTATTAATGAGGTTTCATGACAAATTACATTTGTATTGTATCGATTTGAAAAAAAAATGTTTTGTGCTCTTTATACATGCCAGTCAATTTATTAGACATTTAATTTTTTTCAAAAAAATGATGTGGTGTTTTTTTTTCTACAGAACAGGCCTACTTGTGGGATGAGGAAAGAAACATCATTTTATAACAATCTTGCAATGAAGAAAAATTAAAACGAGATAAGCAGTTTTAAAATGTGTCTTTATTTTCCAGAGTACCTATCAATTATATCATTATACTACGTATTTTTATATTTTTGTCACTTTTAAGTTTTTTTTTATTTTATGATGGAGCAACACATTCGTGAGTTGTTTAATATACAGTAGGATTTTTTAGAACTCTTTAGAGACATTTAAAATTTTGTTGCACATGTAGAATCAGAGCCATTTCAAATCTTTGCTCCTACCCTTCGTTGATAAATACACAAATTAATCCAATTCTCACTTTTAACCTCATTATAAAAAATTTTAAAATTCATTATTTTAAACACGTCCTTTTCGTTGCAGTACGTCCATTACTTTACTGGAAAACTGTATTTCTGAAGAAAAAAGAATCATCACAATTCGTATGGTAAATTTTCTTAGATTGCTTTGATTCTTCTCGTTCATGAGGAGGTTATTTCGTGTATTTGGTCACATCCCCAAAAGTAAATATAGATTCATATCCAGTAAAAGATTCGAATACATCTTTAAAGTGTAAAATTTTATCAAAGTACATTTATTGGCTACTGTGAATGCCACCCTCCATCCCATTTAAATCGTTTTCAAGACAAAGATAAGGCCTAGCGGTTAAGTTGTACGCTACGAAGTATATATATGCATGCCATTGTCGATGTTTGTCGCTGTGATTTAAATGAACGGGATTGTTGAAGTGTTATTTTTTTTCAGAAATGTTCGATTTTCATATAGAATTGGTTCACATTCCATATTTTGGACAAATGAAATAGATTTCACATTTACGTTTCCGTCATTTTTAAAAGCGTAAAAGAAGAATGGAGACTTGACCCACTCATCTTCAAAATTTATTTTTTTTATGGCTCTAGTATACCCTTTATCACTAAATATGCTTAACTGTTAAATTTGAAATAAAGAATTGTCAAATGATAAGTCGTTCAATAAATTAAATAAAATAATAAATGTTTTGAAGCTAAAATTACTGAGAACATGATTTGGCGTCAAAAGCGAAAATGTGTAGATTGTTCAAACACAAAATTCCTATTTTTCCAAACATTACCACTTTCCAGTTCTTACCTAAACTCCAACCTGCTAGTTGAAAGGGGGAATTAAACCTTCAATGTCTATCTTTGTCTATCTTTGATTTAAAAAGTGGTGGGTTCCGATACCTATGCTCCCTCGAATAGGTGAGATGGATTTTGAAAGATGAGTTAACAAATTAAGGTTACGCTAAAGAGGATAAATTGTGGAACGACATTGTAGTGAAAAATGTAATGTGCCCGGGCTCGATATCTAATATATCCCAACCGGAAGTAGAAAAATATAAGCGCGTAATTTTGAAAGAAGACTAAATTTTGGTAAGTATTGACTTTCCTGTTCTTTTTTCCTCCATAAATTGTACGTGTTAGAAAATGATCAGTTGAACTACGAGGCATGTAGTGACTCAAAACGTTTTATCATACAGATTTAATGAAATTCTCAGTTGTAAACTATATAGTAAACGAAAGAAAAGGTAAATAAGCCTCGATTTATCATAGTATTTCAGATTGAATGACACACCATGGAGAAAAGAGAGGAATTACTTGGTATTTCATCGAGGAATGCCTCCAAGGACTTGCTAACATTTGTTTCTCAGGTAGGTTTGTGTAGCAAATAGAAAAAGTTGAAAAAAAGAATTAAATAGAAATAGAAAAAGTAAACATGTAAAAGAATAATTGATATGTTTTACGGTGTGACCGTTGGGATGAGCGCAGTTGTACATGTACCATTAAAAATACACTTGTAACGTTATTCGCCACTTCAAATCAAGTTGCACCAGACATTTTGACTGTGATCAGGTCCAGTACAATCAGTACATTTAGCTACGTAGGTAGAATTACCTACGTAGCTTTATTTACCTACCTCAGGTAGCTTGATTTAGCTACCAAATGAATTTATTCCTATAAAAAAGAATTTTTCTCAGGATGTGTAAAAACTATCATTTTGATGCAGTGATCATTTTGAACTTTGAACTCATCTGAAAACAATTCATGAAAAATTCCCTCTTGAAGAAATGTTTTTTTCTGCGCAATTGCAATCAAAGTTCTGAAAGTTTTGGGGCTATGTATGACAGTTAGAACAGTTACTCCTTGAATGAAATGACAAAGAAGTCCAGTTCTGGTTAACATGATAATAGGTCGGTAATTATATATTCAGCACAATGTGAAGTAATCATACTCAGTCATGCCTCACCGCACGGACAGATAACCAAACAATGGAATTACATGTTTTGCTCTAAATTGACCCAACACAGCGATGTTTAAACTATCTCTGCCTTGGAATGTTTTTGAAAGTCTCCCTAGTATAAATATCAATAGTCATTTCACTGCGATTTTTTGCCTCTTTTCCATAAAAAGAAAAGTTACATTGAAATAGCTAAATAAAGCTACCTGAGGTAGGTAAATAAAGCTACGTAGGTAATTCTACCTACGTAGCTAAATGTACTGATTGTACTGGACCTGGTGATGTCAGACAACGTAAGAGAGCTCGTCAAGGTTTACTGAAATAGTAAATGAATGAAACCAAGGAATTTTTACAAAAAACATTGTCGAGTATTTTTTGTTTCTTTTACAACTTCTACAAACTGAATCTCAGATCTCTTATGTTTTGTGTTATTTGGAATCCTGGTAACGAAGGAATTTTGGGAATGTTTCACAAAATTTTGCTTAATGTGTGTACAGATTTCATTCTGAATTTCTTCTGTTTTTACATATAAGTCTTTTGAGCTTCCTGCGCTCGCGGTTATAAAAAAAATTTAAAAATTATGAAAGGAATGAACATTTTAGTACTCTATAAATTAAAGACAAGATTGTTATACATGTATTTTAATTCATTAGTCATGTGTTAATTGCAACTACTACTTACACTATAAGATTTTGCCTTTCTAGCTGTGTAAACTAATATTTTTATGGGTTTATATTATAATTTTAGTACAAGAGGTTTTGACAGATATTTTTGATTTTATGAATTTTTATCAACAATAATTTAGCACAAGAGGAGTCTGACAGATATTTTTGATTTTATGAATTTTTACCAACAATAATTTAGCACAAGATGAGCGTGACAGATATTTTTTGATGACAGGTTAATTATATTTTTTAGCACAAGAAGAACATGACAGCTATTTTTAATGGTTTATTCTATTTTTTTAGCACAAGAGGAGCGTGACAGACATTTTTGATGGGCTGACAAAGAAACAGACAGAGGAGCTATGGACCGGCCTGAATCAGATGTGTGCTACCACCCTGCTGACCCTTGACCTCGCTCAAGATGACCACCTGGAAGGGGTAAATGTCATTAGGATTGGGTTCTTTTGGTCTAATTTATAAACTGTAAAAAAAAATATATATATAATATTCAATGTTGAGTTTAACTTTAGAGATGTTTTGATGAATTATCCTGGTACTGTCAACCAGCTTTTAGGGCTGCCACGAATCAGAAGATTTTCGAATCGATTCGGTTCAAACAAAAACCTCGATTTTCGAATAATTTCGGTTCGATTATAAGAAATAGATCTTTTTTTTATTTTTTTGTACAAAATCAGTAATCTTTGATCATCATAATCATAAGACATACTTTTATACATAATGTTTTATACTTGTACATGTTTTATAAGGTTTATTCAGATAAAATGGAATGTAAATCCAAGAAAACAAAGAAAATACCTAATGTTCTAATTACAAAGTATGATCCAAGAATCAAATGTCGGAAATCCAAATTAATAAAGATACTGGTCATTGGTTTTAAAAGATGAAACATGGGAACAAATCTTTCAAACAAAACCAATGATTTAATTCATATAAATTATCATTCTAAACATAAAAATATTGGTGATTTGCTTACAAAGTCTTTTGGCCACAATAGAAACGGTAAGATCTCTCCTGTGATTTTAAAATTTTTGATTCACCAATACGATATCAAACCACCTAACCACATAACTGTCATAACAAGAATGTCAATAACAATTTCACATTCAAAACGATATCAATATTAAAAAGAAATAAGGAAATTCGCAGCACTGTGTCAATTCCTCTAAATTCAGAATTACGTGGCTGATGGGTGTTGCCTTTTAGTAAATTTATTTATCCTCTGTGCCATCTTTCTGTCGATAATGGAACTTGGAAGTAGTGCCCCGTCGACGTCTTCGCGGCCATTTTCATGTTTTTGCTTACTTTAACATGATTTGCCATTATTTCTTCCGATTAACCAATTGGAATGCGGGTAACAACAGCAAATGTTAGTATGAAAAAATCAAACCTGAATCCAATCGAAATCCCGGAAAAACGTACTGAATCGAACCGAAAGATTGTGAATCGCGGTTAACCGATATTTCGGTTAATCGTGGCAGCCCTACCAGCTTTCATTCCTAAGCAAGAAATATCTGCCAATTTTTCCACCTTTAATTTGCCAATTTTTCTTGTCGTGAACCAGTAATTCACTCATGTATTTATGTCGAATGTTTCCTTAGTTGTTAAACTTAGTAGTTAGTATGGATTCCAAACTGAAGTATTGCAAATAAAAAAAATTGGTTTTCAATTAAAGTTTTTTAATTACTTTTGAAAATTCACTGTTGTTATTTTTTCTTCTTTGTTGTATTGATTTATACTGGTATCACATACATTTTTTTATTACATTGAAGACTGAAGCTACTAGTGCTGGGTATTGCGGCTGAAAAATCGTATCACGATATATTGCAATATTACATTTTGTATTGCAATATATCACGATATAAAATATTTAATAATTTTTGCTTTTCGTCAAGGTTAAATGAAAACACAAACTCAAATTACATGTATTCTCAAGTTGATATCCTGATTGGGTTATGTTTGCGCAAGTGGCAAGCTAAGTTTCTTGTGACACAACTTGTTGAAATAAATCAAGTTGTAATATTAAAAATCAGCTTTAACATGAAAGGGTTTCATGTAACAGCTGTCGTCGTTTCGTTTTTGAAAGAGACATGTCTCTGGTCTCTGATCACACTTCACGTCGCTTGCCACCATATTTTACCTTGAAAAGGGGCAAATAACTCTTTTTTATAACAATTTATAACATATCAAACCCAAACCGGTATTCACAAAAGAATACCGCGATACGTATTGTGAAGAATAAAATCGGGATACACCGGTTAACCGGTAATATCGCACAGCACTAGAAGCTACTGCATTATACAAGTTATATTTCTCATTCAATATGATTAAAACTGTTGATAGTTATGTTATGTAAGAAGTGGATAAGTTAAACAATAAAGCTTTGTATTTATATAGGAGATGCAGGTTGTCTTGGAGACGATGGAATGTTTTGTTCTCCTGGCTCATACTACAATAAAACAGACCTCACCCCACATAACACCAGACCTGATGTCAACAGCCTGTGTATTACACGGTTTGTTGTCTTATCTATATTCACCAGGTTTTGTCTTAACAGTTTTATCGCACTTAAAAATTGAAAGGTTGCAAAGTATATTCAAGGCTACCAGATGTTTAAAAGATAATGTGCTTAATTAAAAGAAAGGGAAGGATGTCAGTAGACTTTAAAGATCAATCTTTGTGATGAGTTGTATGTTTGGTTGACAGAGCTCCTCCTACACATGCCTGACACGGCTGACCGACTGAAGCACAACACGGCGGGGCTGTTTGAGGATTGGTGGAGACTGGGGTTGGAGGGGAGGTTTGACCTGGTCACTAACACCATCATCTACCTTCTACAGCGGAGCCTATCTAATAAAGGGGTAATATAAACAGACAAGTCTCAGTAATGTAAGGAATGAATAAATTCAATAAATGCTCAAAACTTATAAAAATTCTACAGAAAGCATGGAAACCGAGTCCTTCAGTTTTGTCATAAAGTCCTACAAAGTCATAAAAGATACATAAAGGTGTTAATTTCATTGACACTTAATTGTCATGAATTTGATTGTCTCAAACAACAATATCAAACAATGGATATGTTGAAGTAATTTGGAAATGCCAATCACTAATGAAATATTTTACCCTTGGTATCCCCAACCCTCAGATATCCGTTGGGGGGGGGGGGCTTTAAAATTCTTCTAAAACAAAAAAACAGCAAGTCTTTGGTTTATTAAAAAAAAGATATGCTAGCATCCTTAGGTAGCACAATTCAGTTGAAGTTGTAATTATCTCCGTTACAGAATGCAGCAAGCGTTAAGAGAGTGTGGGCCCTACACTCAGCCCTGGAGATGGTGGACATGTCCAATGAAAGTAGTTCTATGTTCTTTGATCTCCTTCAGCAGGCCATCGTTAACAGCAATTACCTGGGAACAGAGGAGGTACGTAATGTGTGTCTAGTAATTACCTCGGAACAGAGGAGGTACAAAATACAAGCTTTGTTTTATATTCATTTCTACGGTGTGAATATAAATTTTAATGTTTTTTTTTTTGATATCTTGAAAAACTTCCCGAAGTTTCAGTATTTTAAATATGGCAAAGCTTCATTGATTTATGCACTTGCAGGAAAAATTCATTGATGCTTCCCCTTATTCCAGTTTTGTATATTTTATTGTAGGGCTGTCGATTTCTGGGATTCATTATGACATTAGATGTCACCTTGACAGACTGCCTCCATAGGTGTATCAAAAACCACATCCCCACTGCTCCAAGGTAAAACTTAAATATTGTTGAAACAATACATATTTAACTTTTGGGTTAATCAAATCCCCACTGCTCCCAGTTAAAAAGTAAGGAAAGTTCCCATCCCTACTGTGTACAGAAAAATGATGCTGGAAATTAATTCACTGGAGCCTCATTTATCCGGACACTTTGGTTCCTACTCAATTTGTCCATTTAAAAAATTCCGTTCCAATGAAAAGCGTCCAGATACTGAAGCAACTGGATATCTAAAGGTCCACTGTACATGTATGTGACTTACTATTCACTATTATTATGCCTTTATCTGTCCTGTTTATATATCAGGTCTGTCCTCATTTTGTAGTTCCTGGTTGGAGAGGTTTGGTGAGGTGTATTTCAGAGCCTGGTCAGCAGAATCCAACCTTACAGAGGTAACAGAAGGAAAACAATGTCACTGATGTCTGTACTATAGAAATAAATAACTTCACATGGAAATGAAGTGGATTGGTCATGTGATCAAGTACAGTGAAAGGTCCAAGGGCTTCTCAGTAGATTTGATCACGTACTGACCCATTTAATTTCCATTGAAGTTTTTGAACTTGTTATTTATTTCTTATAAATACATTTGAGATGGAAAATCAAAAACATAAATGTTGTCCTAGATTTTTACAAAAATAAGCAACAGAGATACCACAAATTTATACATTACAAATTGCAGTCTTTTTAAGTTAAAAATTTGTACAGTTCTGATTGAAGCATTCTTTATGTCAAGTTCAGTATCTGCTTCACATGCAGGAATGTTATGTATGAAGCATCAACTCAACAAAAAATCTTACATTTTGATTTGCTGATTTTTTCCAACAGAAGCTTGAAATGGACTGTATACAAGATCTGATGAATCATGCTGTACACGCCCAGAAATCACTGACACCAGCCATCAGAAAGGTCAGGGAGAGGCATTATCAAATGAAAAATTCGATCAAAAAAATTAAAGCCACAGAAATTTTTTAATAAGTGCACATTAAATTTAATGATTCAAGTGAAATTGCCTCAAAATTTCATGAGTGAATATTCTTCCTAAATTTCTTTGTCATCCTCTATGCTAGACTGCAGGTACAAAGATGTTGGGTAAAATGAAAAACTGACATACACACCCCACCCCACACCCACTCTAAGGTGTTTGTTTTATACAGGTGTTAACGTACATCCACCAGCAGAAGAAGAAGAATGGAGTAGATGCCATGTTACTGAATCTGTATGAACCTTTTCTGTGGAGATCCCTTAAGGTACATTGTATAAGTACAAACAGTAAAACTCGTTTAGTACAAACACAAATATAGCAAATTCACGAATATTTTGGGGTTCCAGACAAAATTCTTAGCAATTCTTTGTAAAATTTTACGATAATTACGAACTCAGATGTAGCGAATTTATGGAGATAGCGAACTAATTTTGAGTCCTGTAGATGTTAAGAATAATGTAATTTACATCTTTTATACGAATATTTAAAGATCTCAAAATTTGTTATTTTAAACTTTTATCCATGGTGTGTTTTGTAATAGTCGCTTCCCTAACATATTCAATACAAATTCTTGAAGGAAAGTGTGAACATTGCAAATTTGCTATATATAGTCGCTCAAATTTGTTAATATGGATACAGCGAATTAAATTCACAGGTCCCAAGCACTTCGCTATAACAGAGTTTTACTGTATACATTGTTGTATACTGGCTCTTAGTGGATATATTTCCTCGTGTTGATTTCTATGTATTGGTATTTTTGTTATCTAGGTCGCTAACCCAGAAGTTCGTGGTAATGCTGCCTGGCTGTTAGTGGCTATATTTCCTCCTTTTGATTTCTATGTATTTGGTATTTTTGTTATCTAGGTCGCTAACCCAGAAGTCCGCGGTAATGCTGCCTGGCTGTTAGTGGCTATATTTCCTCCTTTTGATTTCTATGTATTTGGTATTTTTGTTATCTAGGTCGCTAACCCAGAAGTTCGCGGCAATGCTGCCTGGCTGTTAGTGGATATATTTCCTCCTTTTGATTTCTATGTATTTGGTATTTTTGTTATCTAGGTCGCTAACCCAGAAGTTCGTGGTAATGCTGCCTGGCTGTTAGTGGATATATTTCCTCCTGTTGATTTGTGTGTATTTGGTATGTTTGTTATCTAGGTCGCTAACCCAGAAGTTCGTGGTAATGCTGCCTGGCTGTTAGTGGATATATTTCCTCCTTTTGATTTCTATGTATTTGGTATTTTTGTTATCTAGGTCGCTAACCCAGAAGTTCGTGGTAATGCTGCCTGGCTGTTAGTGGATATATTTCCTCCTTTTGATTTCTATGTATTTGGTATTTTTGTTATCTAGGTCGCTAACCCAGAAGTTCGTGGTAATGCTGCCTGGCTGTTAGTGGACGCGTTTCCTCTTCTGGATCCAGACTTCAACTCCGAGGAGAAAGACCTGCTGCTACAGAAACAGTTTGATCTCTTACTGGTAAACACAGGACAGAGTAGACTTCATGTTGTGATGTTTTAATCCATAACATTCTTTTCTCTCACTGTATTCTATTAACTAATCATACTGGAATATTTTATAGGCAATAAGAAAATATACTTACAAAATTGAGAATTCCAGGTTTTAAAGACTCAGAAATACATGTATTCAAGATTGAGAATACATGTTTCTTGTACAGGTCTTAAGATTTTAGCCAGTCAAATCTTTAACAAGGTGATGTTTTTTACACTTGTGTCTATTATGCTGTTGATACAAATGCTATTAGAAATCCCTGTCCCTGCTATAAAAAGTCAGACTGCTGGGAGTGTTTAGAATCATGTTATTTATACTGTTATGTTGTTGATACAGATGTTACTAGAGGACCCTGTCCCTGCTATCAGAAGTCAGACGGTGCTGGGCGTCTTTAGAATCATGTCTCTGTTCTGGGAGCTGATGCCGTCCGTCACCATTAAGAACATTGTTACCAAGGTGATTCAGGACCTGGCTTTTGATTCGACGTCTGCTGATGTCAGAGAGAGTGTCATAAAGGTCAGAGGTTAAATATCTTATCACTGTATTGTGTTTAAAGTTTTTCCCTTTAATGGGCAGGATGAAGAAAGCAATTTATTTTACAGTCGTAAGAGTTGTGGAATTACCAATATGTACTTTAGAACGGAATTAAACTTATAAGTTCATAGAGTCGTTCTCTCTTTTTAATGTAGAAAATTTCTTTGTCTTCATTCATAAAGTAAAATACGTTTACAAAAAATGTTAGAGAATACTGCAAAACTTGGTTATAAAGAAGTAACAGGGACCTATGAAATTCCTTCGCTATATCCAATTTTAGTTATCACCGTATAAGAAATTCATTAAATTCACATAGCTGGGAATCCAAGATGACTTCGCTATATTGGTAAATTCTCAATATCCGTGTTTGTACTAAACAAGTTTTGCCGTATAACTATTTTGAAATAAATTTGATAATGCTCTTTAAATACCAATAACCATATTTTAAATAAGGTACTGTAGATCACTAAATTTTCGCGACATCTTATTTTCGCGAGATAGTCATTGACTTTTGATAAGCGAGACAAAATTTTCACGAATTGTGGGTCTTGCTCTACATTATCCTAAGGAATACTATTATACGCGAGAATTAAATTTTCGCGAGCACACTGTCTCACGTAATTACGCGAAAATAAAGTTCTCGTGAATAAAAAGTGATTTACAGTATGCATAGCTAGTTTTGATATGTGACTGTAATCTCTTGTGTATATTCCATTACAGGGCCTGACCAATCTAGTGGACAACCATCTCTGTCATCTGATGCTGAAACCAATTCTCCCCCAGCTACACAACCACATACACGATACCTCAGAGAAGGTCAGAGTCGCCATGGTCAACCTCATGCTGAAGGTCAAAGGGGTCAGGGCCATCAAGGTCAGTCTGAGAGAATTATATGAAAAAAAAGAAAGACTGCCTGAATAGCTTGAAAAGAATCAGTTTTAAATTTCAACAAGAGAAATCTTTTTTGGTATGTAAAGGTATTTTCCCTTTTGCAGTCAAACTTATAGATATAGTATATATAGTATAAAAGTAATAGTATATGTCTAATAGGATAATAGTATATATCTATTAAAAACTAAAAAATAAACAAAAAATTTAAATATTACATTCTTGGAGAGTTTTAACTGTAAGGAAACATGTACTGAATGTTTAAATAATAAAGACATATCTTAGATTTTTTCTTCCTTATAGATGTTTATTTCAGTTATTTATTTACGAGACAAGAGTATACTATACTATTAGTGTTATTTTTGTTGACAGTTCTGGGAGGTGGTGCCGGTGGAGCACCTATTGGCTCGCCTGGAGATAGACTCTGCCCCCGTGGTCCGTCGTCTGATGACCCTCCTATTCCCGAGCTTCCTCCCCCTGGACAAGAGTGACCAGGAACAGATCCCTCGATGTGTGGCCCTGATACAGACAAACCCCGGGGCAGCCAGGGTGTTCTACCGCAACGCTCAGTACTTCATGGACGTCCAACAGACAGGTAAGTAGATAGAGAGTATGGAGTAAATTGTGTAATAAAGTTGATTTGGGGTACATGTATATGGAACATTTATGTATGCAGTGAAACTAGTCTAATCCAACATGGGAGATAAATTTTGTGTCAGAATAGACAGGGTGTCAGAATTTACGGTTTGAAAAACATGGAAACTAGGAAAATGGGGGATTACAGTGTGACGGATTGCACAGGTGTAGAATTAGACAGTTTATACTGTATCTTATATACCGGTGATATGTTAAGTTGAATTGCAAGACCTACAGTACAGGCAACGCGGATCCCGTATTTCCCGCGTCCCCGCCGCGGTATAATCACAACGCGGTATTTGGCCAGGTAGACAGGTAAACCGCGTTCCCTCCGCGGGAATTTCATCACCTACCTGTCCCCGCCGCGGTTAAATCATCGATCGATTACTGACAATTAGTATCGTAAACAAACGGGAGTTATCTCCCCGAATTGTAATTTGCGAATTTTCCCTGTAACAAAAATAAATAAATAAATAAATAAATAAAAAAAATAAAAACAAAAAACCATATGTTTATTAATTAATTTTGCTATGAATAGAATTTAAACTAAGAAAGAATAAGTTTATTTTTGTTTCTAAAATTACATATCAATATTTGAAATTGAATAGAAAATTTTATTAAATTGTTACGTCTTTGCAATGGTTAATTATTTTGTGTTATTAAGAATCTATCAAGAAACAAAATTAAATACTAGAAATTTTAATTAGTTTTTTTTTTTTAAATCTTCATATTATATGCAAACTGTAATAAATGTTGAACTCAGACTGTTTAAGTTTTGTTAAACGATTTTAAGCATTCATTTGAAAAAAAAAAAGATGTACATCTTTAAAAAAATGTACATCTTCATATTGTTTATTAATTAATTTCGATTTATTGTATATAAAATGTACAGGCTTTTTCTTAAAGTGTCAAATTACCGGAAAACATCCGATGACGAGCATTTGCAGCTACATGTACTGGGCACGTGAACTTAAATTTTCTTTATCCAAGATATCAAGAATAAAAAATTCTTTTCTTCTTTATTTCTCATCGTTTATGTTCTGTTCCCAAATTAAGAAAACTTTAATTTATTTCCCTCTTTTATATAAATGTGCAGGCATTTTTCTCAAAGTGTCAAATAACCGAAAAGCATTCGATGGCGAGAGTTAAATTTGAGCACGTGAACCTTATACAAGAGATCAAGAAAAAATATCGTTTTTCACCTTCATATTAACATGTATTACTTTTTAAAACAATGTCTTTCTTTTTAATTTTAATATTTCTCGATTTTCGTGTTCAATAGATAAGATAGGATGTGCAGGTGTAATGATAAACTTCACAGACGAAATTATAGTTTATATTAATAAATATTCAATGCCAAAATTCATATATTTTTGTTTTCTTTGACAAATTCTGTTTCTTTGTGTATTAAGTATTAGCCGCGATCATTTCCTGTGTATAGGGATTAGCAGTGCCTGAGCAGGAAACGACATGCCCTGGAGGTTTCACACCTGTCTTAGAGTATACCTTGGGTAACGCTCGCTGGATGTGCACATCGCTGTTTAGCCATTCAACAACACACTTGATTCATTGTTTCATTATTATTTCATCGATATCATTTTTAGATGCGATATTAGCCTTGGAATTTGTGTCAAATTATTGTTGCTTTTTTTAAACGGAATGTATAAAAAGAATAAAAGTAAAAAAAAAAACAAAACTTTTAAAACAAATTAATGAAGTATTTGATATTAATTAAATCAAATAATGATCCATTGCTATGTTATTTCGTGTCTGTTTATATCTGTACCCGTTAGTAGAGAGAGAGAGAGAGAGAGAGAGAGAGAGAAGAAAAATATCACAAAATTAAGGCACGTGCATGATCGTTTTTCCTCCTTTTTGATCAGTATATCAATTTCTTAAGTCTAGCGAATAAAACTACCGCTGATTTATCAGTTTATTGACCATTTGTGGATTTTGTCTAAGTTTTATTGTTATTTATCAAGAGACTTGTTTATGATCTACTTTCTTCTTTCGTTTAGCATACATGTTTGTACATGACATGTAATTTGAATTACTTCCCTTTTTGTCGCCAGATTACAACGACAGATTTTGGTGGTAAAAAAAAAAGTATTTTTGTTATAAAATTTGATTAAGAAAAACACAGTATTTAAAATTGTCGAATTATTGAAAATATTTATTTGAAACAAAAAATTTAAAAAGGATTCTGTCTGCAACAAAAACATTGAATTCTTTATTTCATGCATTTCAATCCACGAGCTACACATGAAAAAAAAAAACGGCTTCGTTTTACAATGTCGTAGGAACGCATACAGGTTATACACTCAGGTAACATCCTGTGTATATAGGTAGTATGTACACTAGCTAGACAGCGTCGTTCCCTCGGGGCTTCTCATCCGCTTCGAGGAAGCTCCACTCCACACCAAACTTACCTGAGGAAAACCGAACGGTAACACAGACATCTGAAACTTGAAGCTTGGCAACGTGCTGATTAAAATAAGTTAATTTCTGTGTTGTGTGTTCAAATATTTTAAGGGCCCATATTTGTGTTTGTGTTTTATTTGAACCGAAGAAATCTGAAATTTGTTTATGTTCATTGACATGATTTTAGTATTTTTCGAAAAGAGCAGAAAATAGAAATACATTCAAATACTAGCTATGGTATTATTGATATTCTGAATAGAATGACCTGTTATTATTTTATTAACAATAACCCCCCCCCCCCCAAAAAAAAAAAATAAAATAAAATAAAATAAAAATCGTCGATGTTTAATTCATAGTCTTACAGTGTAGCGCATAATAATGGAACAACGGTATTCCTATACTTACGCGTGTTTTGCTAAAATTTAATTGTAATTATGTATCACTATCTTTCATCGTTTTTCATGCTATTATTTATAACAGACATGTATACAGAAGTAATGGTACTTTTCTAAATGAAACCAAATGACTGATATAGTCTCACAGATAAATAAACACACAGCTACATGTAACTGCAACTGCACGGGCTAATTGTGAACACCGGATTACACCAGTGCATATAAAGAGAAGCGATATCATGGCATTCTTTAAATTTTAATTATACCTTTTTAGCAATTTGAAGATCATTTGGGGTGGCATTATTGATTTTGAAAATAAACTTTAAGTTAATATATTCGATAAATTATTCGACTTTATTTCATCCTATACTGTACATGTATTACTGTTAACAGACGTGTTTGAGAATTAATTACACATGTAATTTTGAGTGACTATTGGTACCAAAAAAAAAAAGAAAGATGTTTTTTATTAAACAATTTGATAAAACTTAAAAAAATGAATTTTTAAAGAATCCATGTAATGGTATAAATCTATAATATCAACGTGCTCGTAATCCCCCCCCCCCCCCCCCTCATTTCGACACGATTAAAAATCGACAATACTTTACAGGTAAGAACATCTTAGCTGAAGAATAACGGTAGCTGGCCCCGCCGCGGTGTAAACACGGTCTCAGGTAGCACCGCGATCAAAACCCGCGACGGTGTAACGCGGAAAGGATTAATATACCGCGGAGGGGACGCGGTCTAATACGGGATCCGCGTTGCCTGTACTGTAGCCATATTTCTTCAAAATCTTAATATCTCTTCTTTAATACTATTACCGTATACTTTTAATAATTTTAATGTATGAAATAATGATGTTTGACAGTACATGTTGAGATTGTTATGTCATGGTCCATTCATGATAGAACGCATTTGGTATTTCTTTGTGTGACATTCTGAACCAAGACCTGTACGTAACTTTAGGTACCATATGATATTTGTTTAAAAAATGTCATCTCCTTTTGCAAAGACAACATTTTTTTGCTTTTCATTCAGTATATTTCTTTGCTCATCCTGTCCTGTTAAATCTCTGTGTTGGATACTAAAAGCTGAAGTCTTTGTTTATTGTCACTATCTAATTTTTACAGCTTCCTACATGATCACGCTATGTAGAAAGATTTTGGAATGTATTCGAGAGGAGCGAAGAAGAAATGATGCAGCAGACAACTCGCTGAGTGATGCTCACAATAGTGAGGAGGTAAGATATGACTCAATAAGCAACTCACTGAATGATGCTCAAAACAGGTATGAAATGACTCAGTATAAAAAATTGTGACACTCAAAAGAGTGAAAAAGAAAAAAAAATCTCATTTTTACAACTCGCTGAGGTACACATAGAATGGAGGAGATAAGAAACAACTACTCAGAACAGAATTAAATATTTCACTTAGTGATGCTTAGAATATTAAGGTGATAAAATATGATTCCTTTCGATTTATGCCATCTCCTTGTATTCTTAATCTTTTCCTATTGTGTGTTAATTAGGAAGAGGAATTGACAGTTCACAACACGACTGTGATGAAGGGACTGATTGAAGTCATCGTCATCTTGTGGTACAACATCTCATCCCGACTTCAGGAAGTAAGTTATACACGTAGTAATGGATGCCAGAAAGTGAGAGAAAAATATTATAGACAGGTCCTGTTAAAGGAGATCTTATTACTCTACTGTGTTTAAGTATCATTTACAAGACAGACAACTTGAAGTCATTTTCCTTCCTACAGCTTTAAATGATATTCATTCATGAAAAATAAAAAAAAATTATATATTTAAAACATGCATAAACATGCATGCCCTATGATACTAGACTAAAAAGAAAATCAGAAAACACTAATCTTACTTAAATTTTTGGTATTTTGTTTAGAGTAAGCATAAGAAAATAGAACAGGATCTTCAGCAGAAATTTTGCCTGGCAGTTCCTGAGATGTTGAAAACATTTGAGGTAAACACGAAATCAACAGAAGATTTCTTAACGAAATTCAATATAAATTGTTTTCTTGAATTTCCATAACACCAGATGAATTATGTTTCATGTAATTAGCTAATTAAGAATGTTGATACATTCCAGGACCCTGAGATCTCCTTGGCTGTCATTTTGTTGGCAGGTCACCTGCCCTCCAGTTCCGTGCCACTTCTCAGGTTAGAATGAAAATCTGTAAAAAAAATTTAACATGTTCGCAGCTCATTCTGAGAAGATTTTGAAAATCCGACAATTGATTGCAGTTCTCTGCTTATTTTGAAATAATTATTAAAAAAAAAAAATACAAGTACATGTATGACTGAGGAAAATAGAAGAACTCTGCAATTAAAGGTAGGAATTGAAAATTTTCAAAATGTTAATTTATTAGAAATTAAAATAGGAATATACATGTAATTTACCAGCTTACATAAATTTTCTGCTCCAAAAAAAGTAAATTATAAGTATAACTGAGTAAACTGACAGTGATTGATACATATGAACTTCTCATCCCCATTACATGTATGTTACAGCCGTAGCTGTTTGTCCAAGC